TATCCCTTTGAAACCTAGGAAAAAAGGTTCAACTGCCTTCCCAGACATGTAACCTTTGTAAAAGAAGTCCTCGTTCTACCAAAATGAGACTGAAGTCTCAAAATTACATAAAGGGAATCAAAATTGTATCGCAGCAGCAAGACAGCCAAATTAGATAGGTTTCAGAAATTTATATAGAGACCCTTCTTACTTCTTCTGGAAGATTATCTTGTAAACAGGTATCCGTACTATCCACAGTTCGTATATAAATATTTGGGAGTTAAGAAATTGTGTATCACGTAGAAAAGGACTTCAAAAAGTAAATAGCCAGTCACTAATACACCATAAACCCCCATAAATAAACAAGTCATCTGTTGTGAACTACCTCACTTTTACCCGTCGGAAATATATTTAGCCTCCGTATCCTTTGAGGATACTTTAATTCTGCATTGTGCTTCTCTCTGCCATAGGTTATCCCAGAAAGTTGTGACAGCGGCTCAGGTTGCTCCGGTGCATTAATGGGCCCAAACTCATGAGCCTTTCCACCAACCAATTGAGCTTCGAATGCCAGGTGAGGTCTGGGAACTGAAAGCAAAATATTAATGAATGAAGAACATGCTACTATGTGAATCAATTGAAATACAACATTATGACTCCAGGGAGATTATAGCATTTAATTCGAGCAGCTTTGATTCTTATTCTTCGTCAAACAACGCACACTATTAGTGATCTTGGCATGAAGTTATCCCCTCAACCAAACATGTCAGATGTTTGATAGGAAGAAGTTTCTCACAAGAATAACAATCCTACTGATACGGAACTCAGAAGTAATTACTTAATGTTCCAAAACACATCTAACATCCAGAGAGAGAGAGAGAGAGAGAGAGAGAGAGAAGATGGCCTACCACTGTCAGCTTTCCATCCATTACTAGATAGAAACTTTATTCGATCCCACAAATCCTCCAAGAAGTCCTACAGAAAATAGCAAGGATACTTTGATCAGGAATCATGAATCAAATTCAAAGAATCAAGCATTACTAACAGAAGCTTCTAAATTCAAGATCAAGCTCCATATGTCTTGAGATAATAAACAAGGACTACTTGAACTGTGATTGCAGAAAGTCCCTTATACAATTCCAACCAGGCAACAAAAAAACTGTTGCAAGAACTTATGATATAGTGTACCTTTTCACCTGCACTTAAATCATCATCATCCTCAAAAAACGACAAGCCAATGTCTGTATTATGAGTTCGTATGCTCAAATAAGCCTCTACACCAACCATAACTCTCTCCATCTCCTCAGGAACTTGCTGCACATAAATTGCTACAGTTAGAATTTGAAATGGTTTAAGATCATGATGGGCAACGATGAAGGACAGAAAGCAATGTTTCTAAGTTTAGTTCTGCTGTAGCAGGAGAGCAAGGGGAAAGGAAACAATTGGATGAAAGCCAACACACAAGAACGATAAGACATGTTCTAAATCTTATGTGCCTTTCAGAAAATGGTTACTTAATCACTATTGGTGTCCTTTATGAACAGGACTGATCAATAAGTAGACTAGGTACGTACTTCTATAACCACAGTCTAAGGTCCATGATATATGTAATTTGATGCAGAGAATACAATACACATATCAGACCCATTACAGTTTCGGCAGCACTTAAAATCTTGCCAATTAAAACATGAGGAAAATGAAATCCACATTGAGATAGCAGCAACGATAGACTTGGATCTGTGGTCATAGATAAGTGTAAGGGCATTTTTGCACAGGGCAGGACTTATCAGGGAGACAAAAGTAAAACAGACTACTTATTTTGTCAAAAGCCAAGATGGTTCTACAAAACTAAAATTTCCCATCTAATTGACAACAAAACTAAATTCGTGTACAGAAAAATAATAAAAGAAACTAATAACTAACTATTAAGCAAAGTTCAACAATAGATCTACGAAGCACTCAATTGGGCATGTACCTCAGCAAGTTCTGATCCGCCCCATGGAAGACAAGATAATATACAAGTTACAAAGAAGTCACCACGAGCTTGCCATGAAGGATTTCCCTTCTCCTCATCAACTGTGGTGGCAGCAGAAGACAGCAATGTTTCAAAAGCAACCACAAGGGAAGCAGGCTGCAGAACTTTACTACACATCTGTAAAGGAGAAAAGAGAATCATGTCACCAAGTTTTCTATGTTGCTTAGAAATGATGCATAACATCCACATAGTGCCATCAGATCAGGCAAAATAGAAGTATCAGTTTCCTTGCTCGAAATACAGATTACAAAATGTAATTTAGTTTGGAAAGTTGCAGATAACACCATTATCCTGTCTAAATAATGAAAACCACCTGAATATTTTTTTCAACTTTAAACACACTCGCGCACACAGACACACACACAAAGGCCATCCTACTTCTGTCATGGAAAAAGAAAACTCTATAGAGCAAAACCTTCACAAATTGGAGAACAATGTTAGCAGTTCATCATTTTTACACACATACCAGAGCAGTTAGAAATCGCATCAGAACACGAATCCTATCACAATTGCCGGAATCCAATGCCTCCTGAAATGTTCAACAATGAAGAATAAGGAAAGTACTGAGTAAAACAGTAACATTTGCCAAGCATTAAACCAGAATCAAGAACTAGATTTACAAAATCAATATAGCTCCAAGATAGCACCAAAATAGCAAAGACGTTTCTTTTTTCAGTTAAAAGTCGAAGTGGAAAATAGCAAAACCTGCAGGACAATTCTCTCTCTATCTATTGTTTATGGAAGAATAAATATATGTCTCCACGGTTCTTAGAACCCGTCTAAATAAAAATGTTACATCGACAAGACTGGAAAATGGTCGTCTAGCAAAATGTAAAGGGTTCATGATCCAGAATGTAATAGCGGCTCAAGAAGTACTTCATAAAGAAAAAGACAAAAAGCACATATTGACTCCATTAGTAATCATGACAATGACAAAAAGGGGGAAAGAGAAATATTCCACCTGAAAACGAGTCTGAGTAGTCTCGACGACTCCCTTTACGAAGTCCTCATTTTCCAGGTTCAACAAGCCAATCTGAGATAGAAGAGCGAAAGCACAAGATCAACCTATCATAATTACTCAATCCTTACAAATCACACCCTCGGAATTATATATACATAGTCCTAGCCCTACTATTTGGCTCCTCAAGCTATCATTAAACACAACCTAAAATGGTTCTGCTTCTATCAGTACAAGAAGAACATAAACTAGCATGAATATTTCAAAAACCGGATTAGTACTCAGAAGCAAAAACACTCTTGATTGAGATGCATAATTCTAAATCAGGCATAGTAGGGACATAGTGTTCTTCAGATTTGAGGCAGGCAAGATACAATTCGATAGCGGATAGCACATATATGATAGTCACTAACTAATCAATATAATCAAGAAGCAAGGAGTCTTTTTGGAAGCACTAACCACAGTCCCAAGCAGCGGAATTTTGTGAGGCAATCCCTCGGCACATTCGATAAGGAACTGTCAACACAAACAAAACAAAAAAGTAAGGTGTACATCCCCAACAGAATATCCCTAGAATATGAGCACGAATATCAAATCCTACACAATCTCAATTCACAAGAAAACCAACAAAATTGACCGTACACTAGAAATATCGCCGGCGGAGTGCTCCAGCTCTCGTCGGACAACTCCATAACACGTGTCCTGCACATTACCAACACCAAAACCGCGCGGTTATAGTCGAATGCTTACATTCCGAAAGGAATGACAGATTAAACGAGCGATAAATGGTCATAGTGAGCTAGGGTTCAGCGTGAAGTAGAGGAAGAAGAGAGAGAGAGAGAAAGAAGAAATCGGAGCTACGAACAATGTGTTCTTTGACGTCTGCGCTGCCGCCGTACTCCGGGCACTTGTTGCCGATTCGTAGAAGAAGTGTTCTCCAACTGCTCATCGTTTCTTCCCAATTGTTCTCGTCGGGAACGAAGTGACTGTGAAGAGAAGTTGAAGTTGCAGAGCAGGGTTTAGGTGACTGCAATTGGAAAAGTCATTGAAAATGAAAAGGAAAACAACGGTCGGACCCTTAATTTAACGCGAGTAACATTTTGGTCCCTGGTACTTTGGTGACCTAGTTTTCTAATCCTCGTTATTTTCAATACTCTTTTTTAAATACTTTTTTTTTCAAGGCATGCCAAAAAGGCTTTAATCAAAGAGAACCACATCACAAAATTGGCAACTATAACACATTGTAGTTCGTATGCTCAATAAAAGAGCATTTGCACCTAAACTATTTATATTTTCCATCCAACTATTTTAGTATAAATTGATATGTTGTACATTTTTCACTTACAATTTGGAGTAGAGAAACTAAATGAATATTATCTGAGTGATAAAATTTGTAGAAAAATTACAATAATGCAAAGCAGGATATCAAGTGATAATTATCATCATTATCAAAAGAGTTCGATGCCACCAAATGAGTGAAATAAGTATGTGTATGAACTACGTACGATAAAACTTCTGAGGTCGATCATTTACACGAAGAACAAACAATTAATTGGTGATTACTCTTAATCCTACTTAACATATGATAATATGTACCACGAAGGCATCAAATTATAACAAGTAGGAATGCATAATAACTATTGTTTTGTGTCTGAGTTTATCGATCACAAACAAACGTTAAAATTCATTTATTGGTACATTGAGAAATTATCACGAATAGCATGATAAATATTTCCATTATAATAAGTACTCATTGAAGAGTAAAGAGTTATGCAAGTAACAATAAAAAACAAAATTATTACAAATCAATATCTCTAACCCTATACAATCGAGGCATTAGACCAGAATAGTAAACCGTCAATTTGATCCCAATATTAGCCCGACAAAATACCAAATAAGACTGGGCCTGATGTGTCGTTGAGCTGACCCAATCCAAGAGATATATCCAATCAAAACACCAGCCCAAAAGCCCACACACTAGAGCGCGTAAAGCACGCGCCATAGCCGGAAAATAACCGCAAGGAAATCCTCAAATCCGCGACCCAATCCAACAGCAGCGACGAGCTGACTAACTCCAGTCTTTTTGATTGTGTAACAGATAAGAGAGAGATAGAACACTGCTCCTTTCTCAGCTTCCATCAATGGCGGTCTCTCCCGCTTCTTCTACCTTCTTCGCTCAGTCGCAGCTCCACAACCAACGTCTTCCATTCTCCACCGTCGTTCCTTCTTCCAAATTCCAATCCCTCCTCTTCCATTGCCGCTCCATCAAGCCGAGGCGGTTTCACTCTCGGCGTTTGGCACTGCGCGCTTCCGCCTCCGCAAACGTGACGCTAGACTCCGGCAATGGCGCTGCCGTCGCTTCTACCGATAAGGAGCTGGACGATTTTTCTTCTTCTTCATACGGAAGGAGATTCTTTCCTTTAGCTGGTGTTGTTGGACAGGTTTGATCATCTTTAGTTCTGCACCCTGCCTCCCTCACATTTCTACTACAGAATCGCTTTGAATTCCGCTTTTTACCGTTACGGTTGTGCTTAATGTTTAGTTTTTCCTCGATTGAATTGAACGGATAAGCTCAGTCAGTTGAACGTGTAAGGAATTGTACTGAGTTCTGTTCGTGTGGCAGGATGCTATCAAGACAGCTCTTCTGCTTGGGGCGACCGATCGTGAGATTGGGGGAATTGCGATCTCTGGTAAGCGAGGAACAGCCAAGACTGTAATGGCTCGAGGTTTGCACGCGATATTGCCACCCATTGATGTGGTTATCGGATCCAATTCAAATGCCGATCCAGCTTGCCCAGAAGAGTAAGGTTGCCTAGTGCCTTTTAACTTTCAAGACCTTTTTCGCACGATGCTTTGTTGCAGTAGCATTGATCCTGTTTATTTGGAGAACTTAGATTGCTAAGCGGTTCTGTAATTGGTCAATGTGTTGGTGGATTTAGTGCTAGTTCATGTTTGGTTTCTTTGTTTGCTCGAGTTCTAGCAGAATACTATTCATCATGGCTATTTTCCAATCATTTTGGCCAATGTTTAAGTTGTTTGCTGTTGGTTTATGAAGGTGGGAAGACGGCCTAGCTGAGCGAGTGGAATATGGTGCGGATGGCAATGTGAAGAGCCAAGTTGTGAGATCTCCATTTGTTCAGGTACATTCTGCAATATGAGCTTCTTTATAGAAGGAAAACAAAAAAATGGAATGATAGCTCGAGTTAATGTCTCGTCAATGTATTGTATAGATTCCGCTTGGTGTCACGGAGGACAGACTGATCGGATCAGTCGATGTTGAGGAGTCTGTCAAAAGTGGAACAACTGTGTTTCAACCAGGCCTTCTGGCTGAAGCTCATAGAGGTGTTCTATATGTTGATGAGATCAACCTTCTGGACGAGGGAATTAGTAACTTGCTCCTCAATGTGTTGACTGATGGAGTTAACATAGTCGAAAGAGAGGGAATCAGCTTTAGGCACCCTTGCAAGCCTCTCTTGATTGCGACCTATAATCCTGAAGAGGGAGCTGTTCGTGAACACTTGCTAGATCGTATTGCAATTAACTTGAGGTATGCGATCTCATGAATGTAGTGCAATAAGATGGTCTTAAGGTTGTATTCTTCCTGTTTCAACAATGAGATACTTGTTGTGCAGTGCAGATATTCCAATGAACTTCGAAGATCGGGTTGCAGCTGTTGGAATTGCAACACAATTCCAAGAACGCTGTAATGAAGTATTTAAATTGGTCTCCGAAGAAACTGAATTAGCAAAGACACAGGTACTTTTTGTTTTATTGGTGCTGCTTATCTCTTCATCTTGGTTAGCTAGTGGCCAGCATGGTGTATATGTTTCGTAGATACATGGCAGTGATGACTAAACTAGCTTCCTAGTGATTTCAGACATAAATTTTATCACTATAGTGGAAATGATCAATGTTGAATGAAGTGTAACATACAGCTTGTGACTTCGCACTGTAAGGACGCTTGCAACAAAATTCAAAGTTGCATTGCAATGGGTGTAAGACACAGTTCATAGCAAGTGCTTACAGATAAATGTCATTCTATGTTTGCAGTTTTAAGCCAACTTATCATTAGGCATCAGAAAAAGGTGGCCCTACAAATATATACAAAATCTTCGAACTATAATGATGTTGAAATGTAGAGGCCTTGAGATGATAGTCTAGTTACGAGATTGTGTGGACCTATTCTATACAACACATTTAATTAGTGATTGTCTATTTATCTTGCAGATCATTTTGGCTCGAGAATATTTGAAAGATGTATCTGTTAGTCGGGATCAATTGAAGTACTTGGTTATGGAAGCCCTTCGAGGTGGTTGTCAGGTATAGATCAAAAGCTCATCCGTAACTTGCCCCTAGTGCCTGAGATTTTATTCTAAATATAACTTATTTTTGTTTATCGAAGCTTATGGGTACGCTTTACTATGTTCTTGCAATTTTCTTTTCTGTTGAATGGTCCTGATTTGTGATATGTCAAATGATAGGGACATCGAGCTGAACTATATGCTGCCCGTGTTGCAAAATGCTTGGCTGCTCTGGAAGGGCGTGAAAAAGTCGGCGTAGATGACCTGAAAAAAGCTGTTGAGTACTTGTCTCAAACATAACCGTGCATTCAAGAGAGCCCCCATATGCTCTTTACTAATTTCATCTTGATGCATTATTCTCACATGTTACATTATACAGGTGGAATTGGTCATTCTACCCAGGTCAAATATAACTGAAACCCCGCCAGATCAGCAAAACCAGCAGCCTCCGCCGCCACCCCCTCCACAAAATAAAGACTCTGGTGATGAGCAGGAAGAGGAGGAGGAAAATGAGGAAGATGACGAGGTGCTTAACTTTACTGTTCTCATTGGTCAATAATAGTTTCATCCTATTTCATAAAATGTAAGCCTTTTAGCTCTGCTACGTGTAGGAGAACAAGGATGAAGAAGAGAACGAACAGCAGCCACAAATACCTGAAGAGTTTATTTTTGATGCAGAGGGAGGCTTAGTGGATGAGAAACTTCTCTTCTTTGCACAACAAGCACAGAGACGTAAAGGCAAAGCTGGCAGAGCAAAGAACATAATTTTTTCTGAGGATAGAGGTCGATACATCAAACCAATGCTCCCAAAGGTAAGACATTGATTACCACCTTGCTTTTGTCTACCTGGCTTCATATTTCAAGTGACTTACATAACTGACTATCCTCCCATAGTTCATCTTGTGTCCCATACTCTCTTTACCAGTTAGCCTGTGTTTAATTATTTTTCACAGGGACCTGTGAAGAGATTAGCAGTTGATGCAACTCTTAGGGCTGCAGCTCCATATCAGAAGCTGAGGAGAGAAAAGGACACCCTAAGGACTAGGAAAGTATATGTTGAGAAAAGCGACATGAGGGCCAAAAGAATGGCTCGAAAAGCTGGAGCACTGGTAACATGCCTAAATTTCTCCTGCTGCTTTCATGTTTGCAGTTCAATAAAGAGACTGGCAAAACTTTCAAAACTTTCGAAAATCATAAAGACATCTGAACTTGAACACTGAACTGAAGTTGGTACTCCATTCCAAGTACATTAAACATTTACCATGTTTCATGGATGAACTGTTGCCTGTTGGCCATGGAACTCTTAAAACCTTTGTTGCAGGTTATATTTGTGGTTGATGCAAGTGGCAGTATGGCATTGAACCGAATGCAAAATGCCAAAGGTGCTGCACTTAAGCTGCTGGCCGAGAGCTACACAAGCAGGGATCAGGTAAGTTCAGGGATTAAGTCCATTACACCCTTCACATATGCGAAAAAGCTCACGTATAACCAACATTTGGAACAACTATTTCATGAAGCTTATCCTATATCCTAATTTCTTGTGTTTGTGATTGTAATGTTAAGTAGGTCGCTATCATTCCTTTTCGAGGTGATGCAGCGGAAGTCCTTCTACCTCCCTCCAGATCGATTTCAATGGCTAGGAAACGTCTAGAACGACTCCCATGTGGCGGTGGCTCTCCCCTAGCCCACGGCCTTACAACTGTAAGATTGACACTTCATAATCAATCAAGTAAAGCCTTGTGAAAAAGCTTATGCTTACACATGGGATCAGTGGCCTATAGCAAAATTCTCTAGACTTCGTTTTCTTTTCTGTTACTCAGTTTGCCTGCATTTTGGTTAGGCTGTCAGGGTGGGACTGAATGCAGAGAAGAGTGGTGATGTTGGACGAATCATGATAGTTGCCATAACCGATGGCCGAGCCAATATCTCTCTCAAACGCTCCACGGACCCTGAATCGCTTGCTCCTGATGCTCCAAGACCATCCACTAAGGAATTGAAGGTAAAAACTAATAACAGCACTCGCCATGTATTGACTACGTTCTTCAGCCATTTGGTGCAGCTTTCACTCACAGTTTGCACTGCATTTTTGCGTCAGGAGGAGATTCTGGAAGTAGCTGCGAAGATATACAAAGCCGGGATGTCTTTGCTTGTCATTGACACCGAGAACAAGTTCGTCTCCACCGGTTTTGCGAAGGAGATCGCGAGGATCGCCCAAGGTCTGTTGCTTCCCCCACTCCATTGTTTGGCAAAACAGTTACCCAATGCATATCTGTTTGATGTATTTTTCATTTTCCCATTCTGTTTTCGCAGGGAAATATTATTACTTGCCAAATGCTACGGATGCTGTCATTTCTGCTACAACCAGGGACGCTTTATCTGATCTGAAGAACTCTTGATCATATAACCAATCCCCTGGGCTGCTGAATACGTTGAAGATCGAGCGAGAACTTGCCAATATATTCATTCACATTCCCTCAGTGGTACTCTTCTACTAATCCGCGGCTCCTGAATTCGACATGTTACTTGACAAGCCTTCACCTGTTTGGTTTCTGATCTTTTAGGACTCGGGCTACCACGATCTTGTAATCATCTATGTCGGAGCAAACTCGATCTGTTTCTCGAACGGTGTTAACTTCTCATGACTTTGCTTGTGTGACCTGTAATAGATCAGAACTCAACCCGCCATGATACGTAATCGACATAAGCGAAGAAGCAATAGATTCAATATGAACTACACCACACATTAAACATCACAACCAGCTACATTGCAAGCTAAACAAACACTCCAATAGGCATAAATTGAAGAAACAACATAGAAATGAGGGCGACGAACATGAATCTCTTGTCTTTCCCAAAGAAGTACTGTCTTTTGGCCTTGCCATTGTTCTCAAGTCATTGCATCATATGCTATTGGAATCAAGTGCAAGCTATGCTTTCTTCTGACCCCAGCACCAAAGCACTCGGTCATATCAAGATTCTCATGGGTAATTCCACTGGGTAGTTTCCAATCGAAATGATAGAGCATATTTGCCAATGTCAATTTCACGGCACTCCATCCAAACGACATTCCGGGACACATTCTCCTCCCGGAACTAAAAGGTATGAATTCCAGATTATTCCCGGTATAATCACTAGGACGGTCAGTGAACCTTTCCGGGACGAACTTATCAGCTTCCTGCCAGAAACGGGGATCTCGTCCGATCGCCCAGGCATTAATGATAACTTTAGTTCCAGAAGGAATCTCATACCCAAGGACCTCTGCCCGTTCCCGAGCTTCTCTGGGAAGAAGCAAAGGAAGCGGGGGGTGCAATCTCAAGCTCTCCTGAATAACCGAATCCAAGTAAGCGAGATTATGAAGACCCTCCTCATCGACGACACCACCACGAAACGTTTTTCTCACCTCATCATGTGCTCTCTGCATCGCACCCGGATGTCTTATCAATTCGGACATGGTCCACTCCACCGTTGTTGAGGTCGTCTCGATACCAGCAAGAAATATGTCCTGATCGAGCACAACAACGCGATAAAATAAATTTAATCCGGAAAAATGAATCTTGTAAACTAGCTAGAGGTTATACATAGCAACCCTAATCAACCTACCAAAATGACCGCTTTGATGGATTCGATGGTCAACGGGAATTCCAATTCACCCCCATCTTCCTGAAGATTCAGAAAAACATCCACGAGATCCTCGGAATAGTTGCGATCAGCTGCGGCCGCGGTGTTTCGACGTCGGGCTTTGTGTTCGTCGATGATGTCCTCAAGCATCCCGTCCGCCGCCAGATGCAACTCGGTGAGGCGGGATCGGAACCCGGTCAACGCCGGAAGGAACTTGACCGAAGGGAACAGATCCGACACGGCGAAACCGCCCATCGCCTCGCAAAGCCCCGAAACGATCTCCATGAACTCCGCCTCCTTGTCGTCATCCACCGCCATCCCGAACGCCGCCCTGAAAATGAGGCTGCTGGTTGACGTCAGCAAAAGCCTGCTGACGTCAACGGCGGCGCCGCCTGCGGCGGCGCTAATTACGGCGGCAACGAGTTTGGAGGCTTCGGATTCCCTGACGGGGCGGAGGGAGAGGACCCTCCTGGAGCTCAGCAGCTCGACGACGCAGATCTTCCGCATCTGGCGCCAGTAAGGGCCGTAAGGCGCGAGGCCGATGTCCCTGGCGCCGTAGAGGACGACGTCGCCGAGCAGGAGCCGCGGCCGCGACGCAAAGCTGAGGTCGTGGGCTTTCGCCTTTCAGCACCTCCGCGGCGGCTTCCGGGCTCGAGACCACGATGTAGGAGAGCTCGCCGAGCTGGAGGCCCATCACGTGTGGGCCGTGCTTGTGGGCCAGCTCCCGCAGCACGTGGTGGGGGAGCCCACCGCCGATGAGCTGGTGGATGTTGCCGATCACCGGCAGCTTCCATGGGCCCGGTGGTGGTAATTTCCCCGCCGAGTGGGATCTGGTACTAATTGCGGCGGCTGACTTGTTTCGGAGAAGTAATAGTAATATTGATATCGATCCCAGTATGATTAGCGTGGTAATCACTGTGGTTGAGGGGATGGCGGCGGAGAAATATTCCAGGAGAAGAGCCATTGATGATTGAGGTTGAACTGGCCGGCCGTTGTATTTTGTTTCATTGTAGGGGTTTGGGCGTTCACTTCTCCCATATATGCAGGTGATCCATGTCCATGGTTGTCATGCCGGCCGGCGTGCCACCGGTTGTACCTGGTTCAACCGATATCGATCATAAAACCTGCGTGACACTACCGGTATGACCGGCATGATCGATATACGAATTTCTAAGTAAAATTATCTTATTTTAGTGAATTTAATTGATAAAATTATTTTGTTATTTATTTTATGAGTATAAAAGTTAAATATTGATGTTATTTGTTGGATTCAAGTATAAATGTTTAGGTATTGACGTTAAATGTCATGTTTAAATATGAATATTTATAATTTTATTTATAATATTGACCGGCACAAACCGGTATGTGCCACCGAACCATTCTACTTGCTAAACCGGCACACTGGCATAAACCGGTTTGACAACCTTATCCATGCTATGAATTAGAGTGCTTGTCAGTTTTTTTTTTTTTTGTTATAAAAAGACAAACGAGATTTATATAATCATCTATCACGTGCCAGATCCAATTTCGATGGATTTGACCTGTTCTAGCAGGACATGTGCTTGACTTCTTGGTAGTATGAATTTGACCAAAAAAAAATTTACCGTAAGCAAAATTGGTAGACAGTATTTAGAGTTATGAAACAGTTAAACGCCCACGGTTTCAACTGCTAAAATAAAATACAGCTAACTGTTCCGGTACGAGACCTCCGATACGGTATTTCAATCCTTGGTTTTATAACGTTGAGAGAGTCTGAATCGATTGCTTTGTAACTCTAAATTTTCTTCTTCTTTTTTTCTAAATCCTTCTTGAATTTTACCTGAAATTTACAAAGGTGAATTTTAACCTCAAATTTACAAAGGTGAATTTTCACGTTGTTCATGGTAATCTACCGTGACTAACAATTAATCACGGGAAATGAAGACTATAAAATTGGTAAATTAATTACCGTGATTATAACTATACAATCGAATATGGAAATTTTTCCGGTGATTATTAGTATACTTCTTAGTACGGGAAAATTTCCCATGAATAAGATAACATGACTAGAAACCAGATTCCCGGTAGTTTCACACAATATATTGAGGCACAAATGGGGTTACGACAAAATATGCTTATTGAATGTCAAGCAACAACATACTAATGAGGAAATTAAATATATAAGTACTTAAATATGAAACAAAGTTGCAGACATATAGAAGCTAACATACTAATTAAAATTTTAAGCATATATAAGCATTGAAGAAATAACATAGAAATGGGGAGGATGAACATGAATCTCTGTCTTTTCCCAGAAGTGTCTTTTGGCCTTGCCATCCTCTCAAGCCAATGCATCATATGCTACTGGAATAAAGTGCAAACTATGGTTTCTTATGAGCTCAGTACCAAAACACTCGGTGATGTCAAGATTCTCATGAGTAATTCCATTAGGGAGTTTCCAATCAAAATGATAGAGCATATTTTCCAATGTAAATTTCACGGTAGCCCATCCAAATGACATTCCAGGACACATCCTCCTTCGCTCCGGAATCAAAAGGGATGAATTCCAAATTATTATCCTTATAATCACTTGGGCGATCAAGGAACCTTTCTGAAATGAATTTATTAGCTTCTCTCCAACAACGAGAATCTCGTCCAATGACCCAAGTGTTAATGATAACTTTAGTTTGGAAAGGGATCTCATAGCCAAGAATCTCCACCCTCTCTCGGGCTTCTCTAGGAAGAAGTAAAGGAAGTGGAGGATGCAACCTTAAACTCTCTTAAATAACTAAATCCAAGTAAGTGATATTATGAAGACCCTCCTCGTTGACATTTACTTTATCACGAAAAGTTTGTCTCGCTTCATCTTATGCTTTCTGCATCACACCTGGATGTCTCGTCAATTCAGACATGATCCACTCCACTGATGTTGAGGTCGTTTGGATAGCAGCAAGAAATATGTCCTAAGCACAAGGATAATAAATAAATATGATTAGAAAAATGGATCTCGTAAACTAGATAGACTATAACAAGTTAACAACATCAACTCCTAATCATCTATTGTCGTTTAGAAGTGAAGAAGTACATGAGTATTGCCATTAACCATGTCGGTCCTGAATTATGGCCCATCAACTATTTGGATCCTTAAGCCGAGCCCATCAGCCATTTGGGCCATTGAACCCTGGCCCATAATCAAACTGTCACACGTCAGATGATTAACACTACTAATCACACGCGGCAAGCTCACGCTTTCGACGTCCTAATCCGGATTCCCTCCACGTCACAAAATTGAAAGGGCTCGAATTAATCAACTAGCCGTTGGGAGAAAACCCTGAGGACCAAACCGTCATTCTAGCACAGTAACCCGCCGATCGCAACGTTCGGGGGAAAAGAACGGACCAACGGCGTCGTTTCGCCTCGACCTGACTCCTGAGGGTCCAGTTCTTTAATAAACCCCGCCGCAGCCTGCAACTTCCGACGCTCCTCTCTCTCTCTACCGTTTCTCTCTCTCTCTACCGTTTCTCTCTCTCTCTCTACCGTTTCTCTCTCTCTCTCTCTTCTCGCCGGCGGAAAGAAAGAAGGAACGGGAGAGACGAAAGAAAGGAATCTCCATTTCTCCTTGTGCGTATTCTTCTTTACTCCTCCCCTCTTCGATCTCTCTCTCTCTCTCTAGCGGTGTTTTAGAATGGCCACCGTCAACTACAACGCACCCGCGGCCACTCCGGCGGCGACTGCTCCGGCGAAGAATGTCGATACCCAATCTGTGCTCAAAAGGTAATTGATCACGTAGTTATCTGAATTACCGATTGATTAAATTTTGATCGGATCATTTGCAGAGATCTCTGTTTCTCACCTTTGATTCTCTGTTTCTTGGATTTCTTTGTTGCCACAAACAGGTTGCAGTCGGAGCTGATGGCCTTAATGGTGAGAGAAGAAATCTGCTTTATCTAATTTGCAGCCCATCAATTGATTGATTTCATTTGTGTTTTGATTGGCTAATTCAAGAGATCTGGTTATGGGTTTTTTTTTTAAACAGATGAGTGGAGAAACAGGGATATCAGCATTTCCAGAGGAAGACAACATTTTCTGCTGGAAGGGAACAATTACAGGCAGCAAAGATACAGTCTTTGAAGGAACTGAGTACAAGCTGTCCCTAGCTTTCCCCAACAACTACCCTTTCAAGCCGCCAAAGGTGAAGTTCGAGACCACCTGCTTCCACCCGAATGTGGATGTGTACGGCAACATCTGCCTGGACATTCTCCAGGACAAGTGGTCTTCTGCGTACGACGTCCGGACGATTCTGTTATCCATCCAGAGCTTGCTTGGAGGTTCGTTCTTCTTACCAATACGCTGTGATCTCGAATGCTGTTTCGTGAATGGATCAATTGATAGATGGCGTAATGTTCTGTGTAACAGAGCCAAACATCAGTTCGCCGCTCAATACTCAGGCAGCACAAATGTGGAGCAATCAAGAAGGTAAGGCAGCTCGAGATATGAGTGTACTTGAAGAAACTCCCCCTTTTGGAGTTGCAGAGTCTAAGGAAACTATTGTGTGGTTGCAGAGTACCGGAAGATGGTGGAGAAGTTGTACAAGCCTCCAGCAGCAACAGCATAGGACAGATGATATTCTGGGTTTTACTTCTTACTTGGATGTCCATGAGAGATTACTACTCTTGCGATCTGTTTCAATTTTGTCCATCACTGTACTAATTCAGTGCCAGTTTCTAATGAATGAGATAATACCATTTGACTACTCTACTCTCTCTCTCTCTCTCTCTCTCTCTCTCTCTGCCATGGTATGCTTTTGAATAAGATAAAGAATATAGAGCAGAAACAACAAACAAGCAAGCAATAGCTTTAACTTTCCAACTCCAGGAAATCCATTCACGCAGAAAATTCATTCTCCAACTGTTTACATAAATAACTAAGAGAATGTATCTGAAAACTAGACTCTTGAACATGTATGGTGGTCTCTACTGCTTTGGCGGGGGAGAGGTGAGCTGCCTGATGTTGTACTTGGACAACTCCTTGTACTTCTCTACAACTCCAATCAAGCAAACTGTCTGAAATCACATCAGGGGGAAAAGGAGCAGCTTACCATCAGAACTTCCGGGCAAGAAATCATTTGTGTACTACCAAGGATACACGCTTAAAGGAAGATCTTTGCACTACCTTCACGATTTCGACAATGATTGTCTTGTTAGGATTGCTGAGATCAACTTTATGAGGCTCAGGAACGGCCTTCGCCACTGCATTTATGATCTTTGCCCTGTCGATTCCACTGTTTGCTCTCGCTTCGTACATGACAGCAAACTGCATACAGAGAACGGAATATCAGGATGATAACCAAGAGATAACTTAAATGAAATGTAGTATTACTTTATGAGGTTCTGGAGCGTCCACGGGGAAGTGCTTCGCGACAAGTGGTGCGATTGCCCTCGAAATTTCCTCATCTGAAGGATAGCAGGATGCCTCAACTGGCAACATTCTTAAGAGAAACCTGAAACAATTGGATAAGGAAACGTGAAAAGCGAAATGACTGTCAGCAGCAGAAGATTTCTCGTTGGTGCCAAAGTTGAAGCGAGTGAAGTACATAACAAGGCAATTTTTTTACGAACCTTGACACGTGTTTCTTCGTTGATGCCAAAGTTGTCATCATGTGCTGTGCAACATCCTTGGGAGAAGGGCCTCCATCTCTCTTGCGCATTTGAACAAAAACAACACCATTGCAGCCAGAATCGAGATTGACGAGAAGTCTCTGTTCGAACATGGCAACACAACTTTGATGATATATCTCGATTTGAAACTCAACCAAATAATATCTGATTGAATCCAATGCGGTCCAATTCACTCCTAGTTTGGGAGATGGGAAATAACACACTACTCACCTTACTCTTGTCCCCGAGTTCTTTCAGCTCTTCAGCTATAAGCTTGTCAATAGATTTCTCCTCCACTTTGGCCACAACAGCACCTTTTGAATCATTGGTTTCAATGCACTGCTTTTTCACTGGTGGCTCCGCAGCAGGTTCTTTGGTTACTTCTCCTTCATTACTGGTCTTCACTTCTGATTGATCTTTGTCACTACACTCAGTACCCACAGATGGAACACTCACCCCTTCAGCCGTTTTAGTCTCGATCTTAGTGCCATTTCCTGAAGAGTTATCTTCAGCTTTCACAACGTCCCCATTGTCTTTCTTCCCATCCACTTCCCCAGCTTTATCATCCTCTACCTCTTCCTCAGCTTTATCATCCTCTCCCACTTCCTCTTCTTCATCGTCCGAGTATGTGAACTTGATCTTTTTGTTCTGTGGTTTACTTGGCTGCTCGGAGAGCTTCACATTGCCACCTTTTCCATCTACTAGCTCTTCATAGAACTGCAAAAGAGGCATAGCCACAGATTCAGACTCGGTCATATTCCACGAGTACTCAAGTGCTAACAAGCTGAATATCAACAATACTTAAGAGAATAGCAAACAGAGTCAAATAAAAGAACTCATTAGATGGTTTTCTTCCGGTCACATAGAACCAAGGAGCTACCTAGACATAACAGCTTCAAGAACTGACTGGTTATAGGACCAAAAACTTCAAAGAGCTGTGAAAAAAAATGGCTAGATTCTAACTTTTACAAACAAATTCAGTAAAGAATATCCAAAATTGAAACTTTCACTTGTACAAGAATCTTGTATCATCATCAGAGACCAAATCAAAGACCTTAACAAACTTGGAATTAATGGTATCCTAACCCCCTCAGATAACCAAACGACTTTACCAGCAAGTTCCCTTTGTTAGCTAAATCACTGCCCTAAGTTTAACCGATGAGCTCAAGCCAATACACCACATCATTAGAGAGAACAAAAGATAGTTCAACACAGAAAGAAGGCAACTTTGTCCCAAAAAGGGACTACCCAGCAAGCAAAATTGGCATCATAGTTAAGCACATACGCAAAATCCATCAACAAAATAAGTAAAAAGAAGTAGATATCTTACAGTTTCGATAACGTTCATAGCCTCGAAAGCAGCTTGGCGCTCTCTGCCTCCATCGCAGGTAATGAAGAAGCCTTCAACTCCTGGATGTAACGGGTACGAACCCTTCTTCTTAACCGGTTTCTGCAAACCAAACATGCGAAATCGGCTCGAAATCAACCCAGCAATTATACTGAAAAAAATTAACCGCCACTGCTTGCAAACAGAGCCTTGTAAGCAACAGAAGGACTGAAGGAGAACTCACGTTGTGGGGAAGATACTGCTTTCGCTTTTTCCCCTTGCTAGCTGCGTTGTCCGTCGCCATTTGCCGCCGCTGAGTCACTGGATGATCGGCGTTGAGAAGAAGAAAACGGAACCGGAGGAGGAGAAAGGAAAGGGGAAGTTGCGGCGGAGAATCGGGTCAGTTCTTCTGGCGGGGACTGGCAGCGAGCTCGGGCTTCCTCAGCGGATATGGGCTTACAAAACGGGCCGAATTCAGTAGTAGCCCAAATGAAAACAACAGCAACCTTTCAGGCCCACGGGACGGGAGTTTCTATCAGCCAGATGGCAAATATGATGAATTGATGATGCATCGTCCAAGGTCTAAGCTCAAGACCATGGCCAAGATGAATAAAACAAAATCTTATCGTATGAATTGGTCGTACCTCTACTGAAAGGCTAAAGTGATTGTTACAAGTTACAACAAGTTAGTATGACTTTGTTGCACAAACGATGAAATAACAATAACAAAACCATTACCAAGCTCTACTTGCAGTTCATATCCATTAGATACGTAATAATACTACGTAACTGAACAAATAGAGGTGACAATTTTGTATCAAATCCACTAATCCAATCCATCTGCTAAAATATTCAATTAATCACATCTATTTAATCTAGCTCCAATTTGGGATGGTGGATTCATAAATGGATTGGAAAATTATAGTTTACAACCTATATTTTTTATATTTTAGTACCTAAAATTAAGTTTTTCAACGTAAAATATCATTTGAAAAAACATTTTTTGGTACTTAGATTTTTATTTGTGATATTTTAGTACCCGCACTTTTTGAAATTTACATATTGGTCAACTATTTAGATGCCAATCTATTTGATCCAATTTGTGAATGCACCAATCCATGAATCCAATCCATTTACCACCTCTATGAACAAATAAGTTTTTATCGTCATTTGTAACGTAACCATTCTCACAATAGGATTTGATTCTGATAACATCTCTTTGCAAAGGCCCGGCTTGATATATCCAACTCTAATCAGGTAACTAACATGTTAAACAGTGGAGGAGTCAGGTTGAAGTGAGTAGAGGCTACCCCCTAAATATAACTAAAACTACACGTAAAATTAGTAACAAATTTACTGAATAAAGTAGCCGATAAGTAGTCCTTCGCCACCCTCCCCCACTTATCCCGTTCAAATCAACTCTTCATTCAAATTCCTGACTTCGCCACGTAAGAATCCGAAGGACGGCCAAATACTGAAGGCCGGCTGCAAATAGTATTATAACTTGTAAAGAAAGAAGCACTAGCAGCAGCATTGCCCATTTTGGACGGAGCGAAGATTGGTGGCAATGAGTTTGGTGGTAACATGCTTATGCAACTACGTAAACCGCGGGTGTCACAGTCAGAGAAAGAAGACGTCACATTGCATTCCACCAATGGTTTCTATGGCGGTCGGGCGAGGGACTCATTTCGGAGCCAACGATGTGGGAGCAAAGTGCCGCATTACCGGACGGCAGCACTTTCTAGTGGCGATTGCCGAAACGTTGCCAATCACAAGTCAGCCCCACAAGGACAAAAAGGCCAAGATAGAAAGGTGGTACGATTGGAATCCCCATTTCTCCACGACCATGAGTCAACTAGGCAGGATGTGACAAGAAGAAGAGACCCGCAGCAGTAGCTAACTAATGCCCGGAGTTAGGCCGGTTCGATCGCGACTCGTACGACACAGGACTCGCTCGATGTGACTAGTACGCAAATCGAGTCAGTGTTTGTACATGTTGATATCGTCTCAGATCGTACGACGACTCGTTTATCAATCGTCCAATGCATAGTGTGAAGTTTTCGTAGATAAGATAACACACATGCAATGCAACCCCATCAAAACGAGAAAACACGGTTCGATCATGTGGTGCGAAGATTCGATAAATAAAACGACTTCGCTTGCATCTAACAGAGTGGGGCCATGCAGACTCAAACTCTAATGAAGCAGAAGATCATTGTAAATGTTTTTTGTTTTTTTTTTACTTTTACCACAGTGCCATTGCCAAATTTTACAGAAGCTGAAAATGGAGGGATGGGGAACGAGAGACAACAAACAAACAAACACAGTTTCTGGAGACAAACCTTTTTTTCTTCTTCTTCTTCATCTTCTTATATTTATATAACCCACCAAAAGATAATTCCCAAAAGAATTTTCTACATTTACAAGGGGAGGAAAGGCACCTATACCCTGACTGACTGACTGGCTGACTGATTGATTGCTTGCTATACGTATAAATATATGAATGATATATATATTTATAGCAACTGTACCCTTACCCACGCTATCCACACTATTGTCGACGATGCAGGCCATCCGACGATGATGACGACGAAGAAGAAGAATGTAACGCCGCGAGGAGAGCTGCCCCGACACACGATCCATCCTCCGTCGTTCTGAGCACGACGTGCTGTGCCACTTCTTCGCCCAGTATTTCGTTCAACGCCTCGTGCAAGTACTCTCTGAACATCATGTAGCTCGTGTACAGGCTTCCTTCCACTGCTACTACTGTTCGTCTCATCTTCGCGTCGCTTCTGCTTCTGCTGCCAGTGATCCCTCCTGTTCCGTCCCGGCCAATTTTCTTTAGTATCCCCACGATTCCGGCGGCTGCCAACCGTGCAGCTCTCCGAGTCACCACATCACATACTTTGACGACGAGCCTCCGTGCCTTTAGAGGAACGCCTTGGATCTGTGGGGGAAGTTAACCGGGCAAGATCAAATCAAGCAACATGTGAGCTTATGTCTCATTTTATCCAAATGATTCGTGCACAGTCCCTGTTACACATACCTCCAGCGTTTCTCGTAAGATGGCAGCCACTTCCTTCAAGTCGGGAGACTCGTCTTCATGCATTGCCGCCATTAGAGGCATTCTGAATATAAGACTTGGAAGATCAGATTTGGTTTATAATTGACATGGATGAGCGACTATTGATAAGGAGATTGGATATAGCACTTACTCCAGCACGAAAGGTGTCAACAACTTGGATGAGACGGGTCCAAAGATATCGGACTCCTCGCACATTCTGAGGATTACTCTTCTGACAATGTCCCCGAGATACATTCCAGATATCATTTTCTCGAAACCCTGCGAGCGAAAAATCCCAGATGCTGAGTGTGTGCCTCTAAAAGTGGTTAAGTGGGAAGATAACCCAGGGGCATGCAGCCGCAGCTACTTACCTGGTCATTTGGATTGGGGCTTTCCAAATCCATGTCAATATCGTAAGTTGTTCTCGGCAAATGAGATGACCAGAAATTTCCCCATTCCATGTTGACCACCTAATTGGAAAGAGAGTCATAATGTAAGCGAGTTCATTGAACACCAGACGGGAAGGAAAGTAAAAAGTAATAGTATTCCATGCATAAGACGTGAGAAAAAGATACCATTCCTCCGGAAGATGTGAGGAGTCCTTGGCATTTGATGATCGCGTCTGCCCTCTCCATGTAACAGGCATTAGTGCCGGTTCCAATTTTAACAGCAGCAACAGTATCGGCATCATAATAGTGTCCAAGGGCTAATATTCCAACAGTATCATTCACCTGTCAGACAAAAACAGGATAAGAATGATTTATTATACAATTTAAGTAGCATCTAGACCTTGTTTGTGACTCTTGTCTTTTTTTGTTTAATGCATTTTCACTCGTATAAAAAAAAAAGTAGCATCTAGCTCATACAATACCGTGTGATCATGAACCATTCCAAGACAATGGAACTTGAAAAAGTTGTACAGAGAAAATGAAACTACCAACAAACAAACCAAATGAGTGCATGAATTTCTGGACAAAGGAGACAATTTTGGGGTACCAATAATTGCCTGAATGGTATTGTTTAGACAACATCATTAGCTTCCCTAGACAATATGACCATCCTAATCGGTCCACATATACACAAAGGAGAAGAAATGCTAGCCCAGCAGAAACAATATTAAAAAGCCAAAGCATGTATACAAAAGTGCATGTATTCCTACCATGAGACTCCTCAAGTGCGAAACATTGCTATGCAGTCATCAAAAGCACAGCATCGTGACAAGAAAGAAATGGTAGCTTACCAATACAGTCGCCCACATATCTAAACCTTTCTTCATCAATGCTCCTTGTAAACGTTCAACAATTTCGCATCCAATCTACAAACCATCAAGTCACCACATCAATATGATTGCAACTATCCTTCCATCTAGGCAAAAATTAAATTTAGACAGCTTCCAGATTCTTAAGAAGTGTTAGAAATATTACCAGAATTATTCAGCAGCAACAAAGAGGTGGAATAACATAAATAATCAACAAGAAAGGGCTTTAATTGACTAATTGCTTCTACAAATTCTTTCAACTGATAAGAGAAACTATCACTAACCATATCTTCAATAGCAAACCCTTTGTTCCACCGTATCAGGAAGCCAGAACGGATAGAAATCTGTTTGACTGGAAAAGAGAATGTAAACCCTAGCTCCCTGGTTCTAGATTGAGCAGCTTCAGACACAGTTTCTTCTTGTTCAACAAACTGTTTCAGTTTTGATGTAATGAAATCAAAGAGGTCCTGCGAGCCAAGGCGTATATAAGCATCCATAAAGTAGGTGGAGAAACCTAGTACTTATTTCCTTAGAAACGGATAAGAAACCAAAGATCAGTTACCTCACTTGTGCTGGTCATCAAGTGCTCTGGAATACGTTGCCTTTTTACATCTTTCGACAAGATTGAGGACCTTGTACCTCCTAGCTGAACCCGCAATACCCTAAAATTAGTACCGCCAAGATCTAGAGCATAATAAGTTCCTATCTCACTCCTGACAACAAAACCAAAGAGCAAATTGACAAATAGAACCTAATAAATCATCACAAATATCCTTCACATGTTAAATAAAAACATTGGAACCTCAGCTATTTTATCACTGATTGGACAAAACTGCAAAGCTTAAAAATAAAAATAGAAAACTCTGCTGATTCTGAAATGTATCGTATTGGAAGTTTCACGTAATTATGCATGTTCCTCCATGTATCCACACCAAGTTCATGTGCACATAAAGCATACTTGTCCTGCCGACCAGGAACAGCAAAAGCACCAGTCCAACCAGTATTTAAATGAACTACAATAGTTCAAATGGAAGTTTAGTTATGCTAAAAAGCATGTCTATTTAGGCCAGGAGAAAATCCCCGTGCTAGTAGTGCCCTAAACCAATCAAAACAACAAAGAATAAATGGAGATTATATTCCCTGATGCCAAATGCCAGACGTGCTTGGGAATCCAAGAGTCCCACCACTCAAAAATGGAGCTTGAATGGATTAAAAAGCAGACTCTCAAGAATCCCAAACTTGTGTAAGTGAAGTTTCGAAAGGAATAATTATCTACAGAAGAAGCAAATTTATTCCTCAGAATGAGGAATGTCAACAAAACAACTGATGACCCAAATCATCAAAATGACTTGAAAACGTGGGAAACAGTATAACACGAATGCAACTTGTTCAAAGAAGAAAACATAAGGAGAAATGTATTTGAACAGGGCTAAATGAGAAGACACATAATAGACCAAAAGATCATGCCAAAAATAAAAACTTTGAACTGCAACAGCCGAAACCTTATGAATGTGACAAAGGGGAATTCAGATGACAAAAGAGACGCGTACAGAATGGTTCAATGGCAAGAAAAACAAGGAGAAGAGCTCAACTAAATCCGTGAATCACAATTCCAAAGCCGGGTAGATGAACAATGCTCAATTGATGAAGGGCAATAACAAATGCTCATGACATTGCGTGAATGAGAAGCCCTCTCCAGAATGAGCAAATTCAATTGTGCCAAAAGTAAGAGACAAATAGAATACAACCACATAAATCAAACTACTATGCCACCAACAAAAAGAATAAAAATAAAAAATAATACTACACAAACTAAGCAGAAGCAAACAACAAATCTAGGACAGCAAATACGATTAGAAGCCGGGAAGACCAAACTCTGCAATTAAAAAAAAAAAGAGCTGATTCACAGATTGCTAAACCCAATGTACGATCAAATGAATGAACAAGAAGAGGACCATTTCCAATTTCAGACTTTCCCCCCTCATTTCCACAGACTACACAGCAATCAATCCACGCTGAAAACAGAGCACAACAACCGAGCAACGCACGCAGAGCTCGTAATGAGCAACAACAAAGCGAAAGACCACCGTCAATCAGAGGACCTACAAAGAGAAATATAACATTCACTGGACCAAATGGAGGAAGGGGAAATTAAATAAGATTACCCAGTAGGCAAACGGTCAACGAAAGTGAGCAACATTTTCAGCTTGGACCCTCCTTCGGAAGCCAATCCAGCATGCATCTCCACAGCCATAGCATCCACCACCTGCTTCAGCCTCCCCACCGGAGTCTCGCACGAATCTTCCAACTCCCTCAACACCCCCACCACTCTCCTCCATTTCCTCCGGCTCCTTAATCTCCTTCCCACCACTACCCCGGCCACCGCACAAGTCGCCACCGCCACCCCCACCGCTATTCCCACCGCCAACCTCCCCATCTTCTCAACGGAAATCGAAACCTCCTCCCCCCTCAATCTCAGAGCAACAAGGCCGTCACATCGCGGAAAGGAGCAAATCCCGGCAACCGACTCCTCCCTCTGTATCCAATACCCATCCAGAGCCCAGCCCACCAATGAGCAGAAGCCACCAGCAGCAAACCCGGCCGCGCTCCCAACACCAGCCCGTACGCGAATTCCAACCCTCTTCCCGGGTGGAAGGAGAAAACAGAACAAATCGCCGCCGGGAAACTCCTTCACTCTCCCCACCGGGATTCGGCTTGCAGATGACCTGTTCGAGAAAAGGTCTGAAAGAGAGAGGGGTTCGATTTAATTTTTTTTTTTTAAGTATTCCTTCTCGTCGTTTCGAGCAGAGAAGGGGAGAAATGAAAATGAAGGGAGAGGGAGAGAAAATAAAAAGGAAAGGACGGTGAGAGAGAATGAGAGATGCTTATAAAGGGACTGTGGAATCTCAGATTTGCCCCTGGGCGTGATGTAAGAAAAATGACGACGGAATGATATTAATTAACTTAATGTTTATTATTGAAAATTATTTTAGTTGCATTTTAGCGGATCTTTTGATGACTTTTTTTTACCGTTTTAAATTTTAATGTGGAAGATCTTTGGGGTATGGCGAATTTTGACTTGTGTTCTTAAAAAAATATAGTCTCACTTTTTCTAGGATGTTGTTTACCAAATTGCCCCTCATAGTTTGATTGAGATTTGATGTTGTTGATCGTTTTGACTCTTCTTTTGATTATGACATTTTCCCGATTAGAGGAGGGGGCATAGGCAATTTCATTTTAAAAGAAAGGAAAACAAGATGGTTCTATAGTACTTTGGATTGTGACTTGCTAAGTAGTGTAATATTAATGAACAATGTATGGTAAAGTCTTTCGTGCTGAGGTATCATTTAGTTTTAATTTGTGAGAGAATAATATTTTAGTTACGTGGAAAACGAATTTGGTTGTGCGTGTCAAGACTCAAGAGGCTGGTAATATAACTGAATTCTCGACCAAAGCGTGAAATTTTGGAGGGTGTTTGTTACGATCTAAAGAATGGCTTATTTTGGAGTAAGAAAAAAAAAACAGCAACTTACGAAACAAATGAAGTGAACTTACAGCTTTAGAATCGGGAAACATTGACCGAAACTTTAGAACTGTGCAGCACGACATGTAACAAATATACGATACTCAAATTATGTCCCAGAGCATGGAAGACTACCAGCAATCCAAATATCTCGATAGGCAGCACCGACATAATTATGTGCCCGATTAAATTGTGCCTTCAGTGAATTTATTAGGTATTTATATGGATTGAGATTTACCTACCTTTAACTGATTTTCCTCGAAAGATTAAAAAAAAAAACAGGTGAAACGATAGAAAATGGAGAATCTACAACCAAAAGGAATCTCTAATTTCTTCTAGTCAATCATGTACAATATAGTAGTGCCTATCAGCATGCTTATTAGTTCGTTGGGCAGGCAAAGGCATTGGCCCTTTTTTAAGACTGACGTTTTCAGTATATGGTATATTTTTTCTTTCACAAAATTATTTGTCGTTTGACATTTACGTGGTGGTAGATTTTTGTTTTAGTAAAAGAGTAACCTAATGATGGAGACATGGATACTGAAGATCCTGGTGATGTGTAAAATTGTTAAAAAGAATCAAAATTTTGGCGTTTGCTGTCTTGTGGTTTTTGTTTGAACCATCTAGCTCCGACGATCAAACAATGATATTTGTTGGTGTGGGTTGGCTCATCGTCCGTTCGTCCGATCTCGTCGGGAGAGAGAGACACCTGTGAAAGAGCCGGGGTTGCCCCCCGGATTAAGCTCCGACGAGCAAGTCAGATGTCGGTTTGTGGAGAGAGTTGAGAGGACAAGGTAGAGAGATAAAGCGTAGAGAGATAGTGGAAAGCGGAAAGTGGGGAGAGAGGAGAAAAAAGTCCCCCTCCTTGGTGGGTTTCATACCTTTATATACTCGTAGCGGGTTTAGAGCGTCATACGTTGTCGATTGAACGCGGTATTCCTTAGTCTCTGCGGGGAGCCCCTTAGCAACACCCCCAACAATTGCCCCCCAAGCTGGTGGTGAGTTTTAACTCATCACTAGCTTATATTTTATTTTTTTAAATCTTTGTCGGTAATTTTGGGTGGGGCCTATGTACCCCAGTTGCCCCCCAGCTGGTGGCGCGTTTGAGTGACGCGGTGCCAGCTTCTTGCGTCTTGCCCCCCATTAGCGCCATTAACGCTTAGGATAGTAAAATATTTTAAAAATTTAATAATGATGGAGGGATAGAGTACTTAGCTTTATATTGGCAGTGGCGGCAGGAGTAGTTGAAAGGCGGGTGCTGCGCCGTTGAAACAGAACCTGAGTGGTAGCCTGCAGGTTGTTCTTTCGAACTGGGCGCGAATAGTGCTGGACTATTGCTAATTTTTTGTTCCGTGGAACTGGGCGCGAATAGTGCTGGACTATTGCTAATTTTTGTTCCGTGGAACTGAGCGCAGAGTGCTGGACTCATACTAATTTTTTTTTTTTGTTCTTTCGAACTGATTGGGCGCGAATAGTGCTGGACTATTGCTAAGTTTTGTTCCGTGGAACTGAGCGCAGAGTGCTGGACTCATACTAATTTTTTGTTCTTTCGAACTGATTGGGCGCGAATAGTGCTGGACTATTGCTAAGTTTTGTTCCGTGGAACTGAGCGCAGAGTGCTGGACTCATACTAATTTTTTGTTCTTTCGAACTGATTGGGCGCGAATGTTAAAATTCAGACGCCACACCGTTGAAACACAAGGTACTTGTGGCCTGCTGGTAAGGATGCTTGCCTGTCGGAGGAGTGGCGCGGGTTCGAAGTCTGGCGACGACTACATTATTTTTAAGTAGTGCGCCTGTTGAATGCGGGCCGCGAGTGCGCTTGGGCGCGAGCAAGGGTGCATTGCGCTTGTGGACGCGGGTTGAGTTGGGATGGGCCGCGAGTGCGCTTGGGCGCGAGCAAGGGTGCAGGAGGTTTTAAGTTGGCCGCGCGCCATTGACACACAAGGTGTGCGTGTAGCCTGCTGGTAAGGATGCTTGTGTAGTGGAGTGATGGCACGGGTTCGAGTCCTCGCGATGATGATGCTTTTTGACGCGAGTTGGTGATGGCGCGGGTTCCTTAATATGAGAGTACTGCGCCCAAGGATCACCAAGCGCATCTGTAGTCTGTTGGTGATATGGCTTGTCTGGCTGAAGAGTGAACGCGGGTTCGATTCCTCTTGGCGGCGACATTTTTTATGAGCTTCTTCTGGGACGCATAAGTGGGCCGCGAGTGGTGGTTGAGGCGTGGGCTTGAGGCGGAAGGTGGCCCAGAGACGCAGCTGAAGGTGGAGCGGGCCGCGGGTGGGCTTGAGGCGGAAGGTGGCCCAGAGACGCGAGCTGAAGGATAGAGCGGGCCGCGAGTGGGCTGATCCGTTGATGAGGCGGTACGCGCGGAACATTGTTAAAAGAAGAGCGCTGCGCCTATGAATGACAGAGTGTATGTAGACTGTTGGTAATGTCGCTTGTCTGGCATAGGAGTGGCGCGGGTTCGAGGCATCGCGCCGACTTTATTTTTGAAGCGGGGCGAGAGTCGCGAGACGCGAGTTGGGCCGGGCTGGTGAGTCGGGCTTGCGTGCGTCGAGTGTTGATGACGCGGGCCGGTCATGGCGGACTGGAGGTCAGGCGGAAGGTTGGCTTGTTCGCGTCGCGGAAGCTGAGCGGGATTGGTCTGAGAGGCGGCAAAGAAGATGATATAATGAGACATCCTTGTCTCTTACTTCAATAGTTGCTGTGTAGTCCACTGGTTCCACTTGCCTACTCGTGACCCTTCGAACAAGGGTTCGAATCCCCACTCACGCGAGTGATTTTTGGAAGCGGGCTGGGAGTGGCTCGCGCGTGAGGCTTGGCCCGCGAATGGAGTCTGGTGACGAGCCCAAGAATTGGATGAGGGCCCAGGTCACGTGTTGCTGTTGAGGCGAGTGAGAGTGGATACATAGGGCACGCCGCTCTTTAGTGGCAACTACGCGCACTTTAGTCTGCTGGTTAACACCCACGTCTAGTGGGGGAGTGACGCGGGTACAATTCCTCGGGACGACGATAATATTTTTGGGGCGAATGGATCGTTGACGGACCGCCTGTTGGGCCCGAAGCGGTGTTGGTCGCCGCGAGTTGGGATTCGGGCTGCGGCTTGGTGGGCCTGCGGCGTCTGTGGCTGGCGGCACGGGGCAGGGCGACGCGGTGGCGGCCCTCGAATTGGGGCGGGCCCGATGTAGCACGTGCGCGGGCCGGAGGTAGTACGCGGGAGCTGGGGCGGAGCATGTGGGCCGCGCTAGCGATGCGGGGCGCAAAGTTGCTGGCGTGGGCCAGGGGCGCGTTAATGGGCCTTGAACCCAGCTGTCTTCACGATAACTTTGCTTGTTTGCCTCGGTAGCCCCGTTGGTCAGCCTTGACAGAGAGAAAAGACAGCTCAGAGAAGGCTGTCACTTTTTCTTGACTATGTGTTATGTACTGTAGGTGAGCAGTGGAGTAGGCTGAAATGGTGGTGATAGTGACAGGATAGCCACTGTTTCTTCCTTTCTTTTCGTCTGAGCTTCGACGCAAACCCTTATTATTATTATTATTTTTTTTTTTTTTTTTTTTTTGGTATGAACGAAGAAAGAAGATCGAAGCGATCAACAAAGCCGAAAAGGGGAATAAGTGGAAAAGGTGATTATTGGTATGAGGAAAGAGAAAGGAATTCTGGGGGAAAGGAAAGTAGAGTGGAAGAATAAGATTGATCGAAGACCAGACCAGGAATGGAAAGGGAATTCAAGTCGGCGAGGATTTTGGGGCGGGAGATGGTGGTGGTGGGAGCTGTCTAGCTCAAGGTTTTGGGAGGAATTGGGGTCTTTTGGGTTGCTGCGATCGATCTCTCTGCCTATAGCTAGAAATCGAATACCATTAAGACCTCTCTCTCCTTCGGAAATCGGAGAAACCAGTGTGAAGTCAGCCCCACGGTGGGCGCCAATTGTTTGAACCATCTAGCTCCGACGATCAAACAATGATATTTGTTGGTGTGGGTTGGCTCATCGTCCGTTCGTCCGATCTCGTCGGGAGAGAGAGACACCTGTGAAAGAGCCGGGGTTGCCCCCCGGATTAAGCTCCGACGAGCAAGTCAGATGTCGGTTTGTGGAGAGAGTTGAGAGGACAAGGTAGAGAGATAAAGCGTAGAGAGATAGTGGAAAGCGGAAAGTGGGGAGAGAGGAGAAAAAAGTCCCCCTCCTTGGTGGGTTTCATACCTTTATATACTCGTAGCGGGTTTAGAGCGTCATACGTTGTCGATTGAACGCGGTATTCCTTAGTCTCTGCGGGGAGCCCCTTAGCAACACCCCCAACAGTTTTTATTAATAAGATTCATAGACAAAGATAATTAGCTTAATACACACTAATTACTGTGCATTTTTCTACGGTATTATTATGTTTAGAATTTAAAACATACTTA